ATGCCCTTGTCTCTGGACCAGGAGCTCCAAGTTCAACATCCTCTCCAGGAGTAGACGGTCAAAGAAGGTATTACACGGCCAAAGAGTGTTGAGGATCAACTTGCTGTTCTTTCCAAAACAGCGATGGCAGCTGGTTAAAGTGGGAGAGATCCTGCTTAGTCATGGGGAAGGAAAGAAATTGTAGCTTTCACCATCATTACCCGGAGTTCCAAACTGCAATATGCAGGGAAAGTGCAAGTTGTCACATCGACTCTGTCTTCCTGAATGAACTATAACTTACCATCATCACGATGTAGATTGTAACAAGATTAATGTTGTCATGTTGGGACATTGGAACTGAATACGTACATGATGATTCTGCTCTGACATGAACAGACACAAGTGATGAAGAATGGATATGCTGTATGATCAGAGTAACGTATGTCAAGTTAAACCACAAGTCTGGAATAAAAGTACAATGGAAATTAAAAGGACATAGGGACAAACTACTAAGGAGACCTTGTAGTGAACTGGGCAGTATCCCTGACTCTGAGCCTGAAGCTCTAGGTCCAAATCCCAAATCTTGACCAAAGATGGTGTGAACTCTTAATGTTACCTTCGCCTCCAAGCCACTCACCATTCTGACTTGGCAATATATCTCCATTCCTTCACTGTCACTTGAGTGTCACTGGAGTCACAGGATTCTGGAACATAGAAAGATTTTGCAATGGGAGAAATCACAAGAGCAACATTGTTGAACAGCCCAGTGAATGTTTTTGAGGGAAGATTTCGATAATGTGGAGCAGCTCAGTGTGTGTCAGCTGGGCGAGCAATGCTGAACAGTGTTCTTTAAATTGATACAGATGTTCTGGAGACAGTGCAGAGAAGAGTAACGAGAACAATTAATAAGTGTTAGAGGCTTTCGAGACAAGTCTTTAATCTTTACAGACAAGGAGGTTAAAAAGGTACATTATGTATTAAAAAGCACTGACAAGATGAACTCAGATCAGTATTTTAAGGTGGGTCAGGCAAATATATCGAAACATTAAAGGGAATGAAAATGTCAAGAATTTAGAGTGCAGCTTGTGGTGAGGAACAAGCCAGGCTGAGAGTCTGGAAGAAGCAGAGAGAAGTGATGAGAGCATAGAATGTACCCTGTATACCCTGGGGACAGCCTCAATGCTCATGAACAGTCGGGCACGATAGCAGCACCACTGACTGAGTTGGTCATGTTCTTGAAGACTCTGCTGCTAGACTGGGTCTGCGGCAGGTGGTGAGGGTACAGAAAAAGGGAAAACCTATTTCACCTTGTCCTCACTGATCTACTTCTGCACATACACCTGGCCATGACACTATTAGTAGGAGGGACTACTATACAATCCTTGTGGAGATGATGTCCTGTCTTCACACCGAGTATACTTTCCAGCATGTTGCATTGCATACAGGGAGGCACTGCTGCCTCACAGCACTAGTGACCTGCGTTCAATTCCGGTGTCAGGCGACCGTTTATGTGGAGTTTGCACCTTCTCCCTTTGACTGCGTGAGTTTCTTCCAGGTACTCTGGTTTCTCCTACAGTCCAAAGATGTGCAGATTAGGTGGATTGGCCATGGGAAATATGGGATGCTTTTTGTAGGGTCAGTGCTGACATGATGGGCTGAATGGCCTCTATCTGTACTACAGGGATTCTACGACTACCACAATGCAAGATGAGATAGATTCAGAACAAATCTAGCAACTAAAGATTGGGCATCTATGAAGCACTGTGGGCCATCAACAGCAGAACTGTATTCCAGCACAATCTGCAATCTCATGGCCCAGCATATCCCTCACTGAACCATTACCATCAAGCCCGGAGTGGCACCAGGCACATCAAAAAGTGCAGTCAGCCCCTGGTGACGCTCCAACATAGGACGACATATAAACCAAATAGCAGAAGCAGCAAGTGATAGACAGAGCTCATTGATCCTATAACCAGAGAGGCAGATCTTAGCTCTGTAGTCTTTGAACGATGAAGTCTCCACAAAGATGTTTGTATCAGATTATAAGGTGCATGAACAAGGCAGGTGTTCCCTCAGAGGAAGGGTCAATTACATAGGGGCATAACCTTAAGGTTAAAGACAGGCAGTTTAGAGGGGATTTGAGGAAAAGATTTTTCACTGAAAGGGTGGTGGGAAGCTGGAAGGTAGTTGAGGTGGGAAACCTCACAACTTTTAAGAAAATAATTAGATCAGCACTTGAAATGTCATAACATTCAAGGCTATGGGCCTAGTGTGGAAAAGTAGGACTAGTGTAGATTTACAGTATTTTTTGTCACTGTTGACTCAGTGGGTAGAAAAGCCTCTTCTGTACTGAATGAATCTTTGAAATGTCCCCAGCCCCAATAACAGGAGAGCCCACCTCATCAGTGCAAAAGATAGAGCTGAAGCATTTACAACAACCTTCAACCAGAATGGCCAAGTGGATCATCCATCCTGGCCTCCTCCAGTGGTCCCAGCATCATATATGCTGGGTCTTCAATCAATTCAATTCACTCCATGTGATATCAAGAAATGGCTGAATGCACTGAAGATGTTAATAGCTATAGACAACATAACTGGTAACAGTACCGAGGAATCATGCTCCGGGACTACCTGTATCCCCTGCCAAGCTGTTCCAGTACAGCTCCAATACTAGCATCTACCTGGGGAATGTGGAAAACTTTCTAGGTATGTGTTATCTGGAAAAACAACAAAACAAATATGACCAGGCCAAGCATTGCCCGGTAAACTACTCTCCAAAATCAGCAAATTTATGAAACATGTCATCTACTATGCTCTCAAGAGGTACTTAACAATAACCTGATCACTGACATTCAGTTTAGATTTCCCTGCCCCTCTAGACCTCATTATAGACTTCAGGCAATAAATAAACAGAAGAGCTGAATTCCAAATGGCGAGGTGAGAGTGACTGCCCTTGGCATCAAGGCTGCATTCAACTGAGTGTGTTGTCAAGGAGCTCTATCAAAACTGGAACCAATGGGAATCAGGGGGAAAAACAGACTGCTGGTTGGAGTCATACCTGTCACATAGCAAAATTGTTGTGATCGATGGAGGTCAATCGTCTTAGCTAAAGGGAGTCCCTCAGAGTAGTGTCCTAGACATGACCATCTTCAGCTGCTTCATCAATGACCTTCCATCCATCATAAGGTCAGAAGTGGGGATGTTCACTGATGATTGCACAATGTTCAGCACCATGCGTGACTCCTCAGATACTGAACCAGTCTATTTTCAAACATAGCAAGACCTGGACAGTGTCCAGGCTTGGGCTGATAAGTTGCAAGTAAAATTCCCAAGTGCCAGACAATGATCATCTCCAATAAAAGGAAATCTAACCACTGCTCCAGACATTCAATGACATTCTAGAATCCTATACCATGAACATCCTGTGGGCTGCCATTGATCAGAAACTGATTTGGAATAGCCTTATAAATACTGTGGCTATAAGAACAAGCCAGGAGGTAGGATTTCCATAATGAGTAACTCACTTCTGGACTCCCCTAAGCCATTGACACAAGTCAATAGCTGAATTTGACCAGTTTCTTACCATTTACATTTTTTTTTGCAGGCATGATATTGATCACAAACAATTCATTGTCTCATTAAAACTTTCCAAGGTGCTGGAATCTTAAACTGTGTGGAATTTGAACTGGAACTGCTTTGTCCAATTTGTATTCGAATAATGCCTGCCTAAATAATTAATAAAGATGGTAAACATCCATTTCTCTCGGGGCTTGTCCAACTTTGATAAGTTAAACGATGGCAAATCCAGAGCTAACTCGTTCAGAAATGTTAATCTTTAATTCAGATCTCTATGCTTCTCCAATTTTGACCTCCTTCTCGTTGTTCTACCACTAATGAAAGGGAGGTTTGTTAACTCAAATTTCTGGATGTCTAGTGCGGGTTCAGTCACAGTATCGGCTGCAACAGTTCATGGGGAACTGCCTCCTTGCCTTACTGCTTGATGTGGAGTGATGTTCCCCCAAGCTACATATAATCAGTTGTCTGTCTCCAATGCAGTGAAGTGTCTATTGTACTTCATGTACTATGACTAATTACCTTTCTAATGCTAGCGACAGTGCCTCTACCGTCTAGACTTTCAGCTCTGGATTTTGCTTCCTCAGCCTCTTCATACCCCTCTCTGTCCATTGTTTAAGACATCTTTCGCTGCTAACCAAGGTGAAATTGGACAGAGGATTCATCACCTTGAGTGGGCATCAAGTGTTAAGAATCTAAAGAAGGAGAAACATTTTATTCTTTAAGTCAGAATTTTGCATGGATTAGAGAACACAATAAAGCTCCATACTTAGGGAGAAGGACAGTGATCAATTGTTGACAAAAATAGAAATTGCTGGAAAAGCTCCGCAGGTCTGGAAGTACCTGTGGAGAGAAATCAGAATTAATGTTTTGGGTCGAGTGACCCTTCCTTTGCTGCCAGACCCGCTGAGCTTTTCCATCAGTTTCTATTTTTGTCTCTGATTTACAGCATTTGCAGTTCTTTCAGTTTTTATTCAGTGATTAATTTTTATTCAGTAATTATTACACTGTGCGAAAGAGAACTACTGTGCTGCATAGCAGCTAATGTGAAAGGGGGAACTCGGCATCCTGTCCTGGAAGTAGTAAGTGGGACAACCTTTAATACTGAAGTCATGACCATTTCATCTCAATGACTTGGCAGAGTGATAAAGTTTTCATTGGACTGGTGTTCAACCCAATGGTCCAGAAATACGAAGTGGGCGAATTACCAGCACAGTACTTAAAAAGGCAGGAGGTAAAAATGATGCCATCACATTTGTGGTCAACTGCATGTTAATATTCAAATTGGTTTCTTTATTTTGACATGATTGTCTTCATTGTTGCAGTGTTCCATTTGATAACCTGACCATCAGAGCTTGCTACAAAATCAACCTGCCGAGGACATCAACCACCAGGTCCATGACAGGAACATGGATAGTATATTCAGATGACATTAAGGATCTGCAAAGGGATGGGTTAAGGGGGCAGGCAAAATATCACCCAACATTGTAGCTAAAATCTGTCATCCTTGGAAGTTTCTGGTAAATTTTGTTTTGCACTCACTCAGAGGCCACATTTCTATTTATGAAGCCCAGAATCACATTTGCCAAGCTAACCACTTTCTCGATACGTCCTGCTGCCTTGGGTTTAGGAGTTGGGATGTCATGTTGCAGTTTTAAGGACATTGGGGAGGCTACTTTTGGAATACTGTGTACAGTTCTGGTTGCCCTGCTATAGGCAGGGTATTATTAAGTTGGACAGGGTGTAGAAAAGATTTACAAGGATGTTACTGGGAATGGAGGCAGCACCCCCTGAACTACTGAGTTATAAGGAGAGGCTGGATAAGCTGGGACCCTTGTTTTCACTGGAACACAGGAGGCTGAGGGGTGACCTTATAGAAGTTTATAAAATCCTGAGGGGTACAAGGTCAATAGCAAAGGTCTTTTCCCTGGAGTTGGGGAGTTCAAAATTACAGGGCATAATTTTAAGGTGAGAGGAGATAGATTTAAAAGGGAACTGAGAGGCAACTTTTTCACATAGGAGGGAAATTCATACGAGGAATGAATTGCCAGAGGAAGTGGTATATGCAGGTATAGTTACAACATTTAAGAGACATTTGGACAAGTACATGAATAGGAAAGGATTAGAAGGATATGGGCCAAGTGCAGGCAAATGGGGCTAATTTAGTTTTGGAAACTTGGTTGGCATGGACGAGACTTTTTCCGTGCTATATGAGTCTAAGATTGCCGCAGTTTTGAAATTTTACACAGTATTCCAGTGTTGTAATCATGTATATGTATCAAAAAGAGAGTAACACAAAACACCAGAGTCATGTGAGGGATCCCAGGTTCAACTCCCGGACAAGCCCAGGTTTCTTGGGGCGGCATGGTGGCTCAGTGGTTAGCACTGCTGCCTCACACTGCCAGGGACCCAGGTTCGATTCCAGCCTCGGGTGACTATCTATGTGGAGTTTGCACATTCTCCCCATGTCTGCGTGGGTTTTCTCCCACTGTCCAAAAATGTGCAGGCTAAGTGGATTGGCCATGCTAAATGACCAATGGTGTTCAGGGATGCCTAGATTAGGGGGATGGTTCTGGGTGGGATGCTCTGAGGGTTGGTGTGGACTTGTTGGGCCAAAGGGCTGTTTCCACACTGTAGGGATTCTATGATAACATCTATAGAAAACACAGTGTAGATCTGGAGGAACACAGCAGGCCAGGCAGCATCAGAGGAGCAGGAAAGCTGATGTTTCGGGTCAGGACCCTCGTCAACTTTTCTGCTCCTCTGATGCTGCCTAGCCTGCTGTGTTCATCCAGCTCCACACTGTGCTATCTCTGACTCTAGCATCTGCACTTCTTACTATCTGTGGGAGACTCATAACAACTGCAGTCTTTGTGTAAATTTATCACCCTTCATTGGCAGATGGAATATAACGTGGAAAAACATGAAGTCATTCATTTTGGCAGGAGTTATAGAACGGCAGTGTATTATTTAATTGCAGAGTGACTGTAGGATTGTCTGGTCCAGGGGGATCTGGGTGTCCTGGTACATGAATCACACATACAACTAAAGCAAAGGATTTATGAAGGCAAACTGAATGTTGTGAGGGTAATTGAAAATGACGAGGTTTTGCTACTCCTGTGCAGAGATCACACCTGAGGCAGCGTGCACTGCTTTGATCTCCATACTTTAAGGATATAATTGAATTTAAAGCCTTTGCAGGCAGCTGAAACGATTCCTGAGATGGAAGGGTCATCTTACACAGAAAGGTTGGGCAGATAATCGTTAGTGCTTAGAAAAATACAAAAATACAATAAACAAAAAAAAATCTAAGAAAGATCAAAAATTGACTTGACAGGGTGAATACTGAGACGTTTCCCCTTCTTGGGGGAACTAGAACAAGGGGATCACATTTTAAAAATTAGGCTCTCCTACTTAAGGGTGAGATGAGAATTCTTTCCATTGTTTTTACCCAAACAACAGTGGAGACTGGGTCATTGGGAGCAGACAGGAATGTGGAGGTGAAGCCAGAGTCAGATCAGATCAAGGGTGAAGCAGGCTCTATGAGCTAAATGCCTACTCCATTTCCTATATCTTATGTTCTGTGACTCATTGAATCTACAACATATTGATCAATTCTATGTTGAGTCATCTCAGTGACATCCTTTTGCTTAAGCAAAATTCCCAAAGGTTGGAATGACTGGGAATGTTCCTGCACTGGGAAAAATCCCAAGAGCACTTTCTGAAACAATAGCTGTAGTTAGAACGAAATGAGGCATCAGATTAAGCTCTTGCATAACTAACATATTTCAAAATGTTGAAACACTCAAAAACTGACATATTTAACTTTTACTGGAAGAAAATGCAATCAAAAGAGACTTTGCAAGGAGGTCATACAGTCAGTGTTGTACAGAACAGAAACAGAGCCTTCAGTCCAACTTCTCCATGCCAACCAGATATCCTAAATTAATCTAGTCCCATTTGCCAGCATTTCGCCCAAACCCCTCCAATTCATATACTTATCCAGATGCCTTTTAAATGTTGTAACGGTACCAATCTCCAACTTCCTCTGGCAGCTCATTCCATACAGGCACCACCCGCTGTGTGAAAAAGCTGCCCCTCAGATCCCTATTAAATCTTTCCCTCCTCGTCTTAAACCTACGTCCTCTACTTTTGGACTCCCCTGGGCTATCCATGCCTGTCATGATTTTATAAACCTCTGTAAGGTCACCCCTCAGCCTCTGAAGTTCCAGGGAAAATAATCTGGTAATCAGACAAAAATTGAGACCAAGTCAAAAGAAGTGGTGTCTAGACAAAATGAGATTTTAAGCAGTCTTAAAGGAAGAGAGATGGAGAGGTTTAAGGAAGATATTCCTGAGCTCAGAGGTTTAGATGGTTAAAGACAGAGTTGCCAACACTGTAAGTGAGAGAGGCAGGAGAGGCATTAGAAGCCAGAACTGTAAGAACACAGAGTTCTATCCCGTAACATTCCACGATTAAGTTGTTTTAAAACCTATCCAGGTCAGTACAAAAGGCTGTTCTTTTCTTTTGGTGTGGATATAAACAGGTAACAAATAACAATTACTTTTATCGCACAACATTATTAGCAAAAATTTTTTTTGGCATAGTTTGAAATTTAAGTTAGTTATTGACATAAAAGATGTGTGAGAGCAGAAGGAGAAGGCAGAGGAAAAGATTTCTCAGGCTCAAACTGTTTTCTTTCTGAGAAGACTGGTCTGAAAAGGCCTCAAATTTCAAAGTACTCAGAATTTTGATGTCCATCCACAACTGAAAATGCAGACACCTAACTTATCACGGCTGCCCATAGACTCAGTACAGTACAGAAACAGGCCATTTGCCCCATCTCATAATCCTCACAGGCAGAGTGTTCCAGGTACTTACCACTGTGTGAAACATTATCTCTTCACATTCACCCTACTCTCTTGCCCAAAACTTTAAATGTGTTGCCTGAACTACTAGCTAATTAAGCATCCATTCTTTGTCTATTCTATCTAATCCTGTGCAACTCTATCAAATCTACCTTCGATCTCTTCTGCTGCAAGAACAATCCTCACTTTCCCACCCAACACTGTAGCTAACGTCCTCATTCCTGGAAGTATTCTGGTAAATCTCTTTTGAACCCACTCACAGACATTCACTTCCTTCCTAGAACTAGACAGGAGCTTCAAAAAGGTTCAGTATAATTTCCCTGTTTTTGAACTCCATGTCTATATTTATGAAGCTCAGATTCACATTTGTTATGCTAACCACTCTCTTCCTGCCACATTCTAGGATTGTCACAATTTTTAATTTTTTTATGCAGTATTCCAGTGTCCTAACCATTCATATACATAAGAAAAAGGGAGAGTAACACAAATCACCAGAGCCATAATGTCTGCGGTCCCTGTATAAATTCATTACCCTTCAGATGTTAAACTCTGCAGCATTAAAGCAAACACTTTAAACTAGATCACCACATTTCACATGCAATAACAACCTTGGTTCTATAAAGTGGTGCATCTTTTGATTTACACTTGTGAACACTGCTACTATATAGCCGCTAAATATTTAGACGGCGGATTACATGCATATAAAGACGACAAACTGATCAAGAAGCTGTTAAAAATTAACTTTCTGTTGCTTTTATTTGAAATATTTTTAAGTAAACATAATAAGAAGGCACAGAGGCCAATGCAGATTAAATAGAGAGGTGATGGCTTGGGGTGGGGAAAATCCCTGATAACATGTAGATCTACCCTTAGCAAACTACACAGGTTACCTTGCAAAATGTTTCTCTACACGCTACTGTACACATTTATCAAAAAGTACAAATGTCTATACGTTGTATCAAAAAACAGTGAAATAAGGAAGTGAACAGAGCTGAATTCCGTAAGATAAATATTTTTAAATTATTTTCTGTAAATAATAAAGCTGAATTCTGGCTCAAAAATATTAAAGGTAGACTCCAGACTCTAAATGATGCACAATTATTAAAACCCTTTCTATATCCAGCTCCCTGCATTTATCCAGATTTACTAATTTCTTCTACGTAGTAAATATAAGTTAACAACCTCCTTGGAACAAGTAAGTTACCGTCCATAGCCAGAGGATGCAACTTAGCAAGAACTGCACTATGTAAATGAAATCAATTAAAATGAATACTTCTGGTAGAGGAGAGTGATTTTGTGACAAAATTGTGCTCAGAGTCTGGGCTACACCCTTTAAGTGTAATAATATAAGATCACGTGAACACAACAGCGTAAGGTAGTACAGCACTTAAATAGGAAGTCCACGTGAAAATTTTAGTCAATATGACTACAATTAAATATAAATCTCCAAAGTAATTTATAAAATTGAGTAATATGGGAGATACACTTTTCTTTAAAGAAATTAATTTTATAAAATTTAAGTAAGGTACAGTACAGTGGTCATTTAAGCAGGGAATTACATTAGTTCTGTTTCTTTTAATTTTTAAAATGCATTATTTGATCCTCCTGTAAATCACTTTAGTGCCATTCACATGGGAAGCAGAGAGAATGGCAGTACATAAGCCAGTTAATGAGCATCCTTCCTCATGGCACAGCCCATTTACGAAGGAAACCTTGGCACAGACTCTGACTCAATCTCATACATTCTACAGTGTCTGCTTAAAAGGAATGAGCAGACACTGAGAAACATGTCACTTGTCCCAGGATAAGTGGCGGGGAGGGTGGGGCTCAGGGGAAGTGAGGGATGCTGTCATTAAGTGGCTTCAGCTACACTCTGAAGTGATTTACAGCAAGGTGTGTGGGATCACTGGGCATTACTTTCAATGGGCATGGAGAGACTGAAAAAAACAAGCTAGTGTGCAACCTTGTACAACAAGAAAAGCACCTTCCAAATCAACAAGATCTCCCTTCATACTTCCTGTAACTTGGGAGAAGGAAAATGGATAGACAATGGAAAAGTATAGTCAGCTCACTGCATTGTATGGACATAGCCAGTTTACATCTGCCTCAATTCCATGCAAGTCCACAATCTCCATTCAATGTGAAGAACAATGTGAGATTAAACAATTTCACCACATGAAGAAATCTGCACAATTCAGAGACCTTCTTTGTACCTTAAACATTGAGTTTCAACCTAACACAAGTGCCAGCTAACTGGTCATATCAGGGTTTGATGATTTAATTTAAAGGAATGGCTTCAGTGGTTGTGCAAGTCTCTGGTCGCCAGCACCAGAGTTAGACCTTTGCTTTACAAATGCAAAATAAACTTCTGCAACACTCAGAATGTAAACAGTGGGCCCAATTTCTGCCCAACTGACTGGGAATTAGTGGGAATTCTTCAATTAGAATAATAGAATCCCTACAGTGTGGAAGCAGTCCATTCGGCCCATCAAGTCAACCCACCCATCACTCTTTCCCTGTAACCCCACATTTCCCACGGTTAATCCACCTAAGACTCAACGGGCAATTTAGCATGGCCAATTCACCTAACCTGCAAATCTTTGGACTGTGGGAGGTAACTCATCAGACACGTGGAGAATGCGCAAACTCCATACAGCCATTTGTCTGAGGGTGGAATTGAATCTGGGTCCCTAATGCTGTGAGGCAGCAGTGCTAACCACTAAGTCACCGTGCCGCCCTGTACAATTTCAAAATAACAAATTCAGTGTCAAAAATTAATTTGTTCTAATACATTTTTTGAAATAAATCTATTGCATGCTTTGAGTAACTTCCCTGATAACTTAGTTTAACAAACAGAATAATGGGTATTAATTAATGATATAGTTGTGACTAGTCACTAGTTTGCTGAAGTTTAGATCTCACAATTGGAGACTGCGCTACTAACTGGTGACCTTGCAAATGTGAGGTGATCTCGCACCTCACATCTCAACAGAACAGTTAATGTGCAAAACATCTGACTGACAGAGTCTAAGGCTGAACAGAATTGGAATTTTGGCTCAATGCACTCTAGGCTGTGAACTGATGTCTGTGTGGAATCCAACCTTTGTAAAATCCATTCAAATTCCAATCATGTATTCTGTAAGGTATTGTACCTTTGCCAGTGTTTGATGCACAGCGTATCACTGTAAACTCAACAAATCAGCAATGTCAGGCAGGTAATCCCTCCCAGGGCTGGAATGGCAAGTGTTGCACACTCTCAGAAGATAATAATTAAATTATGGTCCTGGAGTAATTCAGTCATTTTAATTACACATTCACATGACACAATTAAAATAGTAAATCGCACTTAAAATTCTAGAGACCTGAGTTTGTGGAGACTCCTTCAACATGATGAGGGGTTGTTGCAGATTAATAAACAACGGTTGCTTCCAGATTTCAGAAATGTACAGTATTGAAATTATGACAAATCAGCTTGCCCTCAATAAATGAAGAACAAAACCGACATCAGTCCGTTCTTTCCCATTTTGATTCCAACATGCTGTGGCTTTTGCTGTGTAAAAACTCTGAACGTTACACCAGCTTTTCCTCTCATTTCAAAGCTGTGACCTCACTTTTGCAATTTTTAGGCAAATACAAGCCATTTTGAAGAGGTCACCTGGTCTTTGAGGAGCTTCAGGGTCCAGAGACACACACAACACACACAGCAGACCCTGGACAGTGCTCCATTGCCTTCTCCATCCACAAGATCTAGATTCCTCAGGAACGGGAGCAAAACCAATAGGTCTGAGGTTATGTTTAAACTTCTACTAACGTTGATGCCCCAGCTGATTATGATTAGGTTAGATGGTTCATGCAGGCAAAGGCACCAGTACAGACTTAATGCGCTGAAGTGTCTGTTTCTGTGTTGCAAGTCTATGATTCTAAGTAGCTTTGCCTCCAGCTTAACATCAAAGTGTGATTTTATATGATTTGTAACAACTACAGTGATATAATCTTGAACCATCCTCAAATGACTGTAAAGAACACTGCATGACTCATTTTTGAGTAATGCTTTTCGCGTTGCGATACAGAGGTGCAACATGTGCACACAGGAACTTCAAAATGCAAAGAAAACCAGTGGAGTGATTTTAAAGTAGGAGTTTAGTGAGTAACTGTCAGACATAATTCACCGTGCCTATGTTGTTGATTACAACGACAGCACTCAAGGGTATGTGCTGCAGATGTGGTCTGAGTGGAATGATGCTGTGCATTGTCAGTAGGGCAACAGGCACGCAGACCAGAAGAAATAAACCCCAAAATTTACTAACGAGGAAAAGCATTACCCCAGGGGTTGCCAGCCCAACAAAACACACAAAAGGAAAAGGGTGACAAAAAGGACATCACTGTGGATTGCAGAGTTACACTTAGTATAATCTGTATACTTACTTCTAAATAAGGGATGGGTAGACAAGATATTTAAAATAAGCTACTTCAATGCTGTGACTCCATTTTGCATGCATATCAAATGTCAACATTTTTTCTTTAAAAAGGGAGCATCCATTCACTTGGAGTCACTTCATTTGCTTAAAAGATAAAGACACAGAATCTTTGATTCCCAACTCTGACCTAACACGGTCCAACACAAAAGCAGTCGGACATGATTCTGCTCACGTTAATTATAGCTTCTGAGCTACCCGAAACCATGGCGGAGTTTAAATGGAAGCTGGACTGAGACACGCAAGTGCAAAACCACATAACAGGTAAAAACGTGTCACAAATGTTTGAGGGCGTTAAGGGCTGCAGGGTGCAGAAAGCATCTTTGGCTCGCTTTCTCTGAGAGGTTCTGCTTGTGCATTGGGTGGTAGAAAGTATAAAATCTATTGTTCGATACCAGCAAGAA